TATTTTTTTAACACAATTATTACGAAATGGTATATTTAATTTTTGATGTATTGATTTAGAAAAGTGTGTAGAATTGAGACCTTCTACAATTTAAGATGAAATTGGACAACTGCATTATAAAATAACTGTTTGCATTGTTAATGTTGAAAATAGGGTGAGCAGGAGTGTAAATGGGCTGGAGAGCGCATCGTTTTACAACAAAGGTTTTTTCCGTTGAAAAGCCGCATTTTTGTTCGTTCCCATTACAATCTGTTGGAAAATAAACTGGAGCTCCGATTATTATTTTTTTTAAATAAGCGAGCCTTTTAATTTTTTTTTCAATTTTACACCAACACAAAATATACTCTTCCACGCGAAAGCTAATGGACGTTAATCACTCAGGAGTTCGATTTCGCACCAGTTGACCATTATTTGACCCACAGCACAAATATTAGTTTTAATAAAGGCGAAAACTATTTGCGTCAAAAGCAAAAGCAAATGATAGTAGGAAGAGAAGGTTGGTACATCGAGTGTCAACAAACTGATTGATTGATAAGGGTCGCAAGTAATTTGATTTCTGTTTGTTCTCGAAGCGTCCTTCTGTTACCAAGGGAGAAACCCACGACGATAAATCAAATTGCAGAGAGAAAAAAAACATATAATAAATGTTAACGGATAAAAAAAAAGTGGACGTCTTTCTCGGCTGGAAGAGAGAAAGATACCGCAACCATTAATCGCGACTGTAGCAGGAACGTATCCAGGCAAAATAAATCTCGTCGAATGCCATGCACACGTATTACTTCTTTCAAATATACATTTTTTTTTCTCTCTACGCAAATTGTTATATAACCGCAGATCGTGTCAGCTGCATACCGGAAAACGAATCGCCCTGTCGGAACTGTGAATTGCAGCGGTCATAGTTTAATAACTGTAATATTTACATGCCTCTTCCACACACACATATCGTACATGTCCTTAATTGGATGAAAGAATTCCGACTCGATCCGTTTTCAGCAAATCAAAAACGACACGTGCGAAACTGTGAAATTTATTGTTTGATATTCATTGCGCCTTGCTGACTATAATAATATAAATATATATTTTGTTTCAATTGAACCCATCGAGACCTTGATTTTCCAACACGCACACACACCGATATTATTTGTTTTTTTTGTCGATGCACATGAAGCAATACTGCAAACAACAATACTTGCACATTGGAATGCCATGCTAGATGCATTTTCGTGATTCATATCCTAAAAATACTACTTCTTTAAGGTCAGGTGGTATTTTCATCTTATCGCTAAAGCCTTACGCAATATCAAAGAGTATTTCCACCTAATTGCGATAACACTAATGCATTTTACATACAATCACACCATTCTATATTTAACTTTTTTTTAAATCAATTTCTCATTGCAAAACTTATTTTGTGTATTGAAATCGCTATTAATATATAATTATTGAAGCAGCATTGTTTTCTATTTTTTTTCTCACAACCGAACGATTAATTTCCAATCTCAAACCTTGGCCCAGAAAAATATAAACCTTTTACCATAATCATCCCACACACTACACAATTTCCGAGCCAAGCGCATCGCTTCAACACATTATATAATTCCAACATCTTAAATTATCATGATTAAACAGTTTTCGCAGCTCAAGGGACTTTTATGTCAAATAAATCGCTTAAGCTCATCGTTTTATAATCGAAATAAATCAATATCTAGTGAAACAAAAACACCTCTTTCAGTTTTAAATCAGCATATTCGGAGCACGTGAAGGCGGTTTCATTTAACCGCGAATCAATAATATGCAAATGGCTCTAATCTACGCGCGAAACAAACGCACGAAATTGGTATAATTTTCGAAAAAGGGGTATCAAGATATTAACGGTTTTTGTATTGTAATTTACAGTGAATGAAGAGCTTAAATTTAATTCAAATACCTTTTTTCTATATTTAGTTAAATATTTAATATTACTTAAAACAATAGTTTTAATTTATGTCAGGCAAATATTTTTATTATAAATTAAGAACGTTTCGATAATTAAAGATCAGAATTCTCTTGTTCTATGCAAACTAGTGTTATAAAGTTAGTTGGTTCGAGGTAAAGGTGGAGGGTTAGATGAAGGTGTAAGTAAGGGCGTGCATATTATTTCGAATTCTAATTGTAACAGAGGCCAATAATACCGTTCCTGCCGCATACTAATTAAAAGGTTGCGCTTCGTGTACAGTTCGAGCACGGCAAAGTAGGATAGCATTATATAATGTTAGGAAGTCGGAATTGCGTTCGTACGTAGACCGTTTCTACTTCCTTCGGCGGAATTGAGCAGCAACAGAAACATTGAATGGATCGAACCGGAAAGCGCGTCGACGATTAAAATATAACAATAACGCGATTACAAATATGTACGGTGAAATAGTGCATAAAATTCAGACGGTTAATAACCGTTTTTATTACATGGTACGGTGTTCCTTTGTTGCCGTCGATTTTCAGTAGAATTTCGAAGTATTTCGGAAATTAATGCATACATCGCACATACTCTGCAGCTCTGACCTATTTTGCGTGTAATGTGTATAATGTTAGTTAATGCCAAACCCACACACAGAAAATTATGGCTGTTGTTATTACACTACGGCGCTAGTAATTAACCACTGAATGCGATTTAAACAAGAAAAACAAAAAAAAAATAATTAGCCCGGCGCGATCGCAAATTATGTAAGCGAGCTTAGTTGTTGTGTGGGTTAACATGAAGCAAACATCTGTTCGTTGTTTACGTTCGTAATTAAAAGGCTTAAAAGACAGAAGTGAGATAGAGTATATAAGAGATATGAGAATGGATCGTACCTGTGGGACAATTGCATTGTGCGAAAAAAGCGGCGATTGCGTCCAGGACGGTGCAAACACCTTCGACTAGCTGAGACACACTAAGAAACTGCATGGTAACTACTACTTTGGTAACAAAACTAAACTAAACTAGCGAACAATAAAACAGGTGAGGAGAACAACGGGTAGAGGGTTGATTTGCTGATTTGGTGGTGGTGGTTGTGATGAGTTTCGCTACGAATGACTACAGTGTACCTTTGAAGCAAGTACACCCCATGATGTATCCCATCATTGATGATGGACGGGGGCCGACCCGTCACTGCACTCTGACCAGGCGTCGCGCACCAGCGTGAGGGGGCGCCCCACCTTGTAACACTAATCTAACGGCACATCCATAAAACACCGGCGTCGGCAATCAATCTGACTTTTGCACCATGGGACGGAAGGAGGAACAGGTGCTGTGCATGGAGACGACACCCTCTTGGTGAGATTACCTCCCTTCTTCGCTGGACTAAACTCTCTCCGTCTCTCATCTATGTGATCTCTGAGCGGAATTTCTGCTACGAAGCCACTACCACCATCGCGGTTCCAAGCCCCCGAGTGGCGGCGGCGACAGCGGTGGCACCGTAGGCGGCGGCGCCGTAGCGCATCCCCACACAGACGCAAAACAACCCCCCCGAAGACCGAGCTTTGCACAGGACAGGACCGGACCGACATCAAATATTCCATAAATACCTTAAGACATTTAACATTCTCCATGATTTATAGCAGAGCATTATCCTCAACATTCTACCACTATTCATTCTCAAATCACAAAATTCCACTTTAATTGTTTCAACTATGAAAAGCATTTACAAAAAGATTAATCCTGAATCCCATATAACAACGCATCATAATTAAAATAATTAACTGAAAAAAGCAATTCAACTATTACTATTTGAAATGACAGGGCAATTATGTTTTCGTGGTTGCATAACCATTGCAATAAATGCCATTATTATTATAACTAGCAAATAACTAAAATGTTGTAAGTATTATTATATATTTTTGTTTAATTGTATCTTCATTCTTGCTTAGTACTTACAATATCTTCATTTGCAAATCGTTTTACATAAATTAACATGATTGTGGACATACCAAGGTGTGTTGGTGATTGTTCACGAAGCGCCATAAGTTATCCGATGAATAATATTATTATTCCATTTCGGTTATGCTTAGATCGATTGAAATATGCAATAAATTATTCCGTAGCATTAATAAAATGTAATACCTTCAAACATAAAATACTATATCCCTGTTTTAGAGCCGCGCTTCTCCGCTAATTGCATCGGAGGAAGCGCATTTCCATCGCACTTAGTAAATTTTCCGTCGACGTTCCGGGAAAGATAATAAATTGAATTTCCCCGCATATTAAAATGAAATATCGACCCTCATCTCTCGCCCCGCAAAACCAAAAGCATAAAAATAAATAAATAAAGGCGCTAAGTAAATTAATACGGTATATTCCATAGGTTTTGAAAATGCGATATATGTGTCGTTATATCCGTGCTCTTGAATAGTGGATGTTGTTGTTACTGCTGCTACTGCTGATGATGATGAAGACGAGCATGATGAAAAGGAATGAGAAATAAGAGAGGGATGAAGAAGTACGAAAAAAAAAATAAGTGGGGAAAAAAGTGCGAATCGATACGTGTGCCCCAGACGACTATAGCCAGGCCTAACGTTACATCACCGGAGACGTGCACAAGATTAATATCTACAGCTCGCTTTTCCACACTAGAAAATCCCCAGCCACTTCTGCACACATAACATAAAATTACCAGCCAGCTGGAAAAGTGTGAAACGCACCAGCTGAATATCTTGTCTCGAGGTCTTCAACTTCTCCGAGCGGAAGCAAATTATTTCCTGCACTGCAAGCAATTAGCGGAGCACTTTAACTAAATCACAATGAAGAGAAACACATATTAGCCCGTTCCATTAGCTCCGGAAATTGATTACATAAATTTAAAAAAAAATAATCGACGATTGTTTGCGGAAACGCTTTACTTTTTCACTCACTTGCATCGTAAGAAAATAAAAATTGCGCAAGATTATCTTCAATCCCTTTGACCTTATTTTGACAGCCTTCGCTTCGAATTGAATTCGCTCCTAATCCGGAGCCGTAAAGCGTTAAAACAGTTTCAGCAACTTACCGGTATTATTGGCGTTCGCCTGTGCGAATTGCGGATTCTGCAAGAGTTGCTGCTGGAGCAGCTGGTAGTTCGGGAATGGAGGTAAACTTGGGTAGGCGGGCGGAGGTCCCTGGGGGCTCGTCAATTGGTGGTGCTGCTGCTGCTGATGCTGCACGGCGGGGCTCGGCTGCCCACCGTTCGGAGGAAATAGAGGTGAAGATGCAACTGGTTCTCCTGGAAACAAGAACAACGTTAATCAAGATAATCGACGGGTCTAAATTTATCTTCCGGTTAACACAGTCATCGCTATACAAATACACGCTGCGCCCTAATCGACTCTGCAAAGATCCGCTCTAACCAAGAGGAACCGACGCATTCAAACGAAGCTTAAAGCACATCAATTAATTAATCTCTACAGTCTAATGTAAACATCATCCGACTTCCCATGAACACATATATCTCTATCTCCCTAACTCCTACAACGCTATAATAGTTATGTGACGGTTTCGTCGGAATGCGCGAACATAAAGGAAAATATTTCCTAGGACGAAATACGAGTCTATTCGGAATAGGGATGTAATCATAATAAAGAAGAAACCTTTTCGCGAACAACTTTACACCTGAGACCAAAAACTTCTATGTTCCCAATATCAGAAGAAGATCGACCATAAAAATAACTACATACGAAATATTACAATTTAACTTTAAATTGAAAACTACAGAAACACATTATTATAGTTCATATTTTTTAATACACCAACAACAAAAAATCCAAGTCAATTTTCTTAAGATGTTTTCAGAAAATTACTTCACAAAATAAGTATGTATAATACGGCAGAAAGTCATATTAAATACTAAAAGAAAAATTCTCTTGAAAAACGAATAATCCAGTATATTGAAATAAACAAAAGCCATGTTTATTCGATAAATAAAAAATGAATCGAAGTATATTTTGGAATTGATTGTTAGATCTTTTATTCCTGAAACAAACGAATATACTGAAATTTACTCAAGCTCGAAACGCAATCAAATATGTGCATTGATTACATCGAGACTATTTCACGTTATAATTCTCTTTGCATTTTTCGGAGCGAGTAAATCCAGTATACTACGTTTTACAATTTGCAATTCAATTTGCTTCAAGCATCTCCAATCATACAAACTGTAGATGCACACATTTTTAATTGTATTTTTTATTGCAATACATTATATAACAATGATAAAATATAATTGCAAATTTAAAAAATGATTATCTTGAACGAAAAACACTTCCCTTAGAATCTAAGGCTTAGATTGATTATAGAAAAAAATGTTGAAGTAACTGCTGATGCAGTGAGCAAGGCTGAGGAAATCGTAGTTTTGTTGTTTATTTGTTTGTTTCCTGAACGGTACAAAGCGGAAACAGTGCCGGTACAAAACTGTGGGACGTAAAAACCTCGTTGCTTTGTTATTTATTGCATTTGCAAAATGCAAAGATTGCGCAGTATTCCCAAAAGCGCAGACCTGAAGTCTCACATAATAAAAAAAACGGTAGTGCACCAAGTGAAGGGAACCCTAAATGTACCATGTATGCACTGCGTTGCTATGGAAATATTTAACAACACTCACGGCCGAATCCTTTATAATTCAATGTTACATAACACCTGCAGATTAATATTTAAACGATTATTCTAGGTTAATAGAACAGTATGAATAGTAGAAGACAAACTATCATATATTATTAATACTAACAATCGAAGATTGCATAACTCAACAAGTTGAATAACAGTTGCATTTGTGTAAAAGCTATAAATATCAATTTGATTTATAGAGTGAAATTATTTAGATGCTCAAAGTAAAAGTAGTTGACTTATGAAGGAATATAGTTGATGAAATTGCAACAATAAATCAATTAAATTAAAAAGCAAAAGTAATTACTGTAGGAATGTAATTACATAAATAAGTGATTGTAATTATATTTATTATTATAGAAATACACATATTTCATATTTAATTGAATTATTGAGATATATATACAAATAAGGAAGAAGTCAAAGATGAATTATTATACAATAATAACAATCGGTAAATATTATAGGATGTAATTACACAAATAAGAAATTATAATTTATTATTTTTTCTTATTATAGTAAACTTGATAGTTCATAAGAAATAAATTTACAAATAAGTAAGAAAGAATGAAAAGATGAATCATTGCACAAATTAATGATTGCAGAAAAGAGAAAATTTGATTATGCAATTAAATGTATATTCATTATTAACAATATTAATAATCTATGGTATTATCCAAGAAAGAAATGATTATGAGAAGTTGAGCTAGTTTTCCATACAAGCACAGCTGTAGATGAAGTTGCCTACCTAACCATACGGATTCATAACACCTCGCGCCACTCATTCAAATATCAATTGTTTGAAAACGATTAAAATTGAAAATGAAGTTACAAATCCCGTCCACGGGTAAGTCTTTTTTTAACTAATGAATTTTCATTTACTATCTATCATAATAGGTTTCGAAAAGTACAAGAAAATAACAGTTTTCTACGTTAACAAAAAAAATATAAGTAACAACTTGTGATTTAAACAAATATAGCAAAATAAAGTGTATTTATCGATAACAATGAACAAATTATCTTTGCTTATAAAATATATAGAGTTCTTTATTTGCACATTAATTTAATTTATATCTCACTGAACTTTTTATTTACATTTTCATTCTGAATCACGTCAAAGTGATATAGTTATAATATATAGTTGGATGTTATGCAACTGAGATAACTGTGAAATTAATGAAATTAAGAGATTCAAAGAAGTCTGAGCACCAGTAATGATTATATTTAGTTTAATGGTCGTGAACTATAAGAGCTTAAATGTTCAATGACCCTTTCGAGCGTCACCACTTCACGTTTCCAATTAAATAAATGGCGAAAATAATGAGTTTGATTCGATGGACGCATCAAATAATTATAAAGGATTTACAATATGCAATGGGAGTAATATGTATTATACATTAATTAAAATGCTGTTGATAATATCTAAAGATAAATCTCTAAAAAAAACGGAAACAGACTAATAGTTTAAGCTAATTAATATAGTGTGTATTTCACTAATTACTTTTAAAACTCATTTTCTTCCATATGTTTTTTTTTATTTAATTAAATATTGCGACAGCTTCTCAAAACGAGAACTAGCAATTGGGAGTCAAATTGGTTTGGTGATCAAGGATTGTGAAAGTCCGTTTCTTAGACTGGTCCAAAGCAAATTGATATAAATAAGTTGACTAGACTTTATCCAGCGCCGATGAAATACATTTTTATCATGAAGTTAACATCTGGTATTAATACTTTTTTTACAATGGATCTACCCTCCACCTCTAGATAAATAAATGAACTAACCTGGCTCGGATATTGGGTTACAAGGGCTTTCTGGTAACAAAATTCCTTTTTGCACCAGTTCATCCCTGTTGGCTCGGACTGATATTTTTCTTTCAAGAGCTACAAAATAAAAGAGACGTTAATGTTAAAGAGAAAATGTGCACAATATTACAAACGAAAACCGCGTTTAGTTTCTGTTTAATTTCCAATACTGCGTCAAAGAAACATTCAGGTAAACTGGCCTATTTTCTTCAAGTTATTCAATTTTATTAGTAAAAGTGAAATTTTATCAAAACTAAACGACATTAAACACGATTCGTGGTGCAGCAGTTCATGTGTATGTTGGACCACAAAGATCTACTATCTCCAATGTCAGTTACAAATTCGCTTTCTAGAATTTCATGTTTCTACGGGAATTTTAATAATAATGTTGCTTTAAAACAGGAGATGGGCTTTCAAATAAATGAAACCAAACAGAATCTCCTTTAATATAATTATTAAGACCAAGGCCAGTTGAATTGATATATACATAAAAGAAATAGATACGAAGCAGATCATCTCTGAATAATACAAGGGATCATCTTGTTCTCCGTGTTCCGAGCAAAACAACACGATTCTGCGAGAGATGCACACGATGCCGGCAACGGAACAAAAATGGTATTTTAATTTCCCACGTGTACGTTAAATAATGCAGGAAGGCCGCACTTACTTCTAGAGACTGCTTCCAGTTTATCCGATTTCTTTTTCCTCTTCCATTTCCACGGCTTGAAGAATTTTCCAATGGCGGAAAATTTGCTCTTCCTTTCGAGCGGCGGCGTTCGCGTTCCGCTGCCCAGGCTGTTGGTCCTGAACGCGTTTCCATTCTGTTTTTTCGCTGCAAAAGAGAATAAACGTTAAAATAGTCAAACAAAAAGTTACAAAAGGGAGAGAGGCGCACAGATTATTTTTAGATCGAGCGATGCATCAAAAGGATTTTATTTTTTCGGTATTATTTTTGCATCTTTTTGATAAATAATTATTAGGTGAAAACTGTTGTACCTTTTGCATTTTCGAAATGCAAATATGCGAGAGCACTTTATTCAAATTGCTTTCAAAATTGAAGTGGTGTATTTAAAGGACCAATTCAACAAAAAAAGGAGGAAGGACAAAAAAAAATATAGAGGCATGAGAGATCAAACGGGCCTTTCGAGCAGCCGAGCACATCTCATCTCACTGTCGGATGTTTACTGACATAATGCAGCTTTGGTTTTCTGAGAGCCGAGCGCAATTATTACCAATATGAATATTGCATCGATGCAAAGTTCTTTTAGCTTCAACCGAATATTACTTTTCGCTTTAATCATGGTACGAATTATGCATTTGAGATTGTATCGCCGGATGAAGAGCAACCACAAATCTCGCGGAATGGTCTAGTGGTATAATTATCGGAGTGTTTTTTGTTTAGGATTCCTGATTGTTGACCCCGCGTTGCTTACGAGGCGTGAAATTTCGCGATTGCGCTCGTAATTAATTACAATCCGAACTTATAAATTCCTTCACAGATAAGCCGCAAATAGATTAAGTAATATATACGATGTTGGCTTTATGGAAGCGACGATGATGGTGATGATGAGAGGACTACTGTAGACTACTCGAAGTGGAGATTGAGAAATAAAGAAGTCTTATAAGTTATATTATATAGGATGCTGATCGCTGTGGATGTGCGTCGGTCACGCACTGCGTAACAATCTTGTTATTATTTTCGTTATGGGGATTCGGTCGGATCGGGTCGGACCAGAAGAAACCAGTCGCGTGCGGTGCGCCACGCCAAGACCTGACCCGCCTCTGGGGGGGTGAGGCGCGAAGACATCCTCGCCCTCGACAGGAATGCTGTGTCTGTGCGTGCCCGTTCAAGGACACCGCGAGAAAGGCCTTCTCTTCTTCCGTCCTCCTCTTCTTCATCATCATCACCATCATCATATTCTTCTTCTTATTCCATGGTCCAACCCATCTCGGTTCCTCATCTTCTCCTTCGCTCATAGTGAAAACAAAAACAAAAAAAATCACGAAACCGTTTTCAATCAAACAATTTCACAACGCTCGTAGAATCCTCGGCGACCGGGCGGCAGAAGGAGGCAGCGGTTTCGTTTTCCATTTCGCCGAGGTCGTCCAAGTTCAACCAACCCGCCGCTTTTGCCTTCCCATTTAATGCCACCAAACAAAAACAAACCCGAATCAAAATAAATATATGGCACCACGCGGTGCACTAATTATGCAAGCGATTCCTCCGGTTACATCGACCACAGTTGCACAACTCAACTGTTTATTTTACGTTCAAATTTCAATCAACAAATTGTTATCACGTGATCATTAGCACTTCAGTACGTATTGTTATATAATGCGAAATATCCTTATAGTTTTAGATGTTTGACTCAAAATCCTCCAGTTATATTAACCTTCACTATTACGTCGCACCGTTTATTTGACGTTCAAATTTCAGTCAACAAACAATTATCACGTCATTATTAACTTGAATACTTCATTATATCGCATTAAATGCTTGACACGTTTAAAGAAACCTAGTACATTCAATAAACGTTACAAATTATATTAATTTCGAAAAAAAAATTAAAAAAAATATTAATACAATAAACGCGTTATGTAACTGTAATTATTAATTAGGTTAACTAGTAAAGTATTATAAAAATATAAGCAACGGACAACCATGTTCTTGTTTAAACAATTGTTACAGAAACTTGCTGGTATAAACGTGAACAAAATAATTCCATCCGCGTACATAAAATAGCTGTACAAGAACACCAAAAAAAAAAGAAGTTTTATCACTGTGCAAGAATTTCGAGAATTTCTTCAAATATATCTAGACAATTTCGTTTCTACACAATAATTTACTTATAAATCTTAGTATTAGTAATCATCGTTGCTTAATATGCATCTCATTACTAAAGACTTTCTCCGAATGATTTAAATTGTGTTTAAGCTATTTTATTAATGAGTTTGTATAAAAAAAGCAATAACTTATAATTTTCAATATTAATAAAGATTTCCTTTCAATCGATTATCCAATAAAGTAATATTAAAGGCAGTGAATCAAATCGAATCGGAAAGCGAAGACGTCCAACATAATTTAATTAATAAGCATCTGATGAAGCGTAACGCCGTTTTGCAACAGCATTTATTATGCGTTAGAGTATGCTAATATATGCGTGCAGAAAAGTTAAATTGCAGCCGATCTCTTCTTCTCACGCTGACGACGACAGCGATGATCTTTGGATACCGAAAGAAGGGATGGACACAACGTGAAATTATATTTAGTGCCAATTAGGATCGCTTAAGTTATTCACGTGGATGGTTATTAATTGAAATGTTCTGTGGAGAAACGAATTAGACTCTGTATTCTTTTGCATTAGCCGTGCCATTCATTAAATTGCAAGCGCCTATTTGCATACGTCCAATTTTCTAATTAAACGCAGCGAGCATCGTTTCCGTTTCCAACTGAACAACTCCTCTTCTGGTTAGTTTGCAAACTAAATATAGATAGATTCTATAGAAAGCTCATTTATTTTAACTGTTTTTGTTTTTATTGAAATGTTACCGTTATTACTTTCAGCTTATTTATAAGATTTTTTTTTAATTAGTTAATTATCTATTTGCTGCTAACTTTTTTTATGGTGTAGATAGCATGGAACATGGTGTGTGTAATTTATCGAACCCAATTCGGTGTTGTCTACATAGTTGCGCAACTGGTGTCAACATGCAATTAGAGCTGAAATTTATTAAGCCGCTGCCCAGGATATGCAAATAAATAAAAAAGATTAAATCCTCTCCCAATAATACAACTTTTTCCCATTAACAAATATACTAATCAAATAGATTCTGTAATATCTTAATTGGTTTTGTAATTGAGTGGTGTGAATCTGACACTTGTAAGAAGAGTTTCGTAACCAAGGTAATTCCCTCGTTGTTAAGGTATTCCTGTCCACGTCTGCACTTACTGCGGCCGATTACGTTTCACGGCTAATTAATTATGTAAGATGAATACTTCATCGGTGCATATTCTGAAATCTTCCTCCAATTACATCAATGCGTACACTCGCGTCGCTTCGGATCGAACTTGATGCGCGCTTGTGCATTAATATTTCGACTTTGACATGACTCTATTTATATTTACTATAAGTGGAATCAAGGCAAGGTTGATTTTCAACATTATTTAAATTGCGTGATTTACATGCAAATTGTGGAAAGTTATATATCGGTCGTTGCATTTATAACTTTTTTCGTTTTGGTAACGTAAGTCGTTACCTATATAACTTTGATGATATCGCTAAATGTTTAAGTATCTGTGGACATGAAGATCATGCGGTATAATGGGTGGAAGCACTCAGAACTTGAAGCCGAAGTTGTGTATCGCGTCTAAAAATATTTCCGCGCTGTAAATCTCTTAAGCAGGAAGTTTGTCGAGGGAGAAGGAAAGATGAAAAAGGGTATTATTGCTATTCTTAGCACGTGCCTTCTTTCTTCCGACGAAAGAACACACGTGGGCCGGAAACCCAAAGCGTCGGCGACGACGAGGGTGAGGTCTAATACGAGACTACATTCGGCCAGGTTTATGACTATTGGGGGGGCTCCCTCGAGGACGTGGGATTGCCGTTGGAAATACGCCGAGGGATAATGAAAACGAATAGGGATTTCATTGCGATTTTAGCAAGAAAACGCAATAAATATAAAATCCACTTTAAGATGGAAATACCGAAGAGAGACGCAATAAACAAACATATTAACACGATCTGTTTATTTTCGAAGCGATGATTAGTAGCAAAAGAAAAACAAACATTAATTTGCTGCAATTGATATTTAAATATTTAGATAAGCTTTTTTATATTTATTGAGAGAGGAGAACTAGTTTCCAGCTCGAGATTTTTATCGTCAAATTGCGTATGAATGTGTGGTAATAATTTCACTTTTCTCTCCATAACCGGTCCCATTCTTCTCACCGCAAATATAAATAGAAAAAAATACACAGGAGGCTAATCACCAATAATTTTTTCATTGTACAGAAACAAAGACAATCTGTGTATACCGCAATATATAGTAATATTTATCTTGTTGTTTAGCAATTACATAGATAAACAGTATTTATTTTAAAGTACTTGTTATCCACTCTATTTGCACGAGATCCATGAATCACGAGTCTTGGAACAATATGTAACATACACGTACGATGTTGGATGAATGAGGAAATGTGTGGACAATCTAACTTGTTGTCCGCAGAGCAATACAACGAACTTGGTGGGTTTTGTATCTCTTCACATAGAAAAAAATGTCTAATCGCAAGAGGAGGATACATGAGACACAGGCGCTGGAAAACTATGCCTCCTTATCGTCTCGGGAATTCTTGGTGTTGAGTGACACGAACCGAATTTATAGTAACCATTACGTTTTGATGGTTCGTTTGAAAAAAAAATTCCTGATTTTACGACAAACCTAAATTTGTTCAACAAAAACTCTTGATTAAGGATAAGCAAAGGTTAATTAACATTAGTTAATACTTAAAGATCGCATTGTTTTTAAGCTTAAAATACTCGTCAGCGTATTGATGAGACCGCCGATGGTTTAGATACGTAACGTTTAATAGCTATTTACAAAAATCCAGCGCTTTGTAAGTATCGAGCTTTGATGAATCGTTTAGATAAATAAAGGTTAATTAGTACTCGACATGAATGGTGAAATTTGTTATGTTTTTATTTTTACTCTCATGAGAAGGTTGAAGAGAATATGGATGTTCGCTATAGAGCAAACAGTCTCTCAAATTACAACTTGATATTTGCGTGTGAGTTATACATTTCACCGTTACATCTCGTAAAAGATATTATTATG